TGATGCTCTCTCGCGGGAAGATCGAACGTTTTAATCATTTCTTTGCGAGCTTTCGGATGATTTTCAACTTGCACGGTCCTTCATAATCGTACGTTTAAAGAACGTACATGAAACTAACCGTGCTAATTTTGGGTTGTTTTCCAAACCTATTTACGGAGATATCGACGTTAAAGCGACGCTCGTTGATTGCTCAAGTGGCCTGTAACAATTATTACGCGCCACCAGCGAATGATCTAATCATTTGAGACGGTAAGAAGCTTATAATCCACGGCATATATTTCCATAGAGATTAACGGAACAGCACGTGCGGGTTTATATCCGCGCTCTTCTAACGCCGTCGTTGCTTTCCTTACGACGTTTATAGATAACGTGAAAGCATCGTTTCTTCGCGGTTCTCCTAACGAGATTCTCGATTATCTCCTGCATGATTGTCCTCGCGCTAATTACGTTACCGGTGTTAAGGCGGCGACGTGTAAGGAGAGCGTTGTACGTGCGCGCTTGTCTTCTCGGGGACGTACTACTCTCTCCCTCTTCATCCGCGGATTCTTCCTCCCTCGAGCAGCGAGTTAATTTCGCGCCGACGAAAACAGCCATTTGCTCGCGAGTTATAAATGATCGAGGACTCGCGAATCTCCCTTCCGAGTTTTAATTTTTACTTGTGTACGACTGTGTAACGGAAAAAATTCTGTTCCTCCCGTTCCGAGGGCGGATATTGTAATTTTAATTTCAAGATCGCGCCTGTGAATTGCGAGAATTCAGAGATTATGAAAGGGAATTGCGCGCTATTAAATTTAGTACGTACGTTTGGCAAGTGATTAAATAATGTAATTAGTAGGGAGTCATGAAACTCCCCCCTGGAGATATGGATTACCTATTAATGATATTATACAATACTAATGATAATGCTTGTTATTCGATGACGATCGGCCGGAAAGGAATTATAATTGTGTTATGATTATTAATTCGAGGGAAATCGATGTTTCATTGCAAAAGCGATCTTTTGGAAAGAGAGTCACGATCAAAAAGCTCAGTTTATATACTTGTATACACACACACATACATATAGATATGTAAATATTTATTTATTTATATTTATACACACACAGGGTATCTATTGCTAAAGACATCCTTCGTATAGTTTAGGTTAATCTGAACAAAAAATTCTCTACCATTTTTCAAATAAAAATTTCTAGTTATTAATTATTGAAAATAGCCATGTATAGAGACTTTGTTTAATTACACAGTAAAAAAATCTTGTGTCTAAATGTTAAAATTAACATATAGCTAATATTATTGTCACATGTGTTATATTTAATAACTTAACATTTTTTTTTATTTATCATTTAAAAATAAAATATTATTTCGAGCTCTCTTGACACAATTACTTACATAATTACATATATTGTTTATCTCAACATTTTGCGTTAAATCGATATTCAATGTGTATAAATGTTAGAATAATACATTTTATATTTCATTGTTGATTAATAAAGGTGTTAATTTTATTGAATATTATTGGTAACATTTTATACATTAAAATTTACAGACAAGTTGTATTAATCCTGCCGGCAGTAACAGTTATTATCTGAAAATTTATCTGGAAACAATACAAAATATTACATATGTAGCTAAAATGGTGAAGTACGAAAGATATTAAAAGAAAAGTAATAAATCAATTTTTTCAGTATGAATGTAGCGTTTATTACATTTGACATTATAAATATGTAAATTTAATTAATACCAAGGGTTATTATATTATGAATAAAATTTAAGTCAAAATTATTAATATCATATGTTGGAAGAAAATGTGTCAGTTCGTTAAAATTTTCAATTTATGAATAAGCAACACCCGACAGGACTTTTCGGTTTACCACAAGTATATGACGGATGTCACTTAGTGACAGGCACCCTGTATATAAAATGTAGGATCGAAGGAGGAGGGAGTTAAGATTTATAAATATTCATAACCGACGCGGCTAAGCGACGTTCGCTCCGTCGAGCTTTTCTTACCGCAGTCAATCCCGCAAAGGCAAATCGGCGGTGGTTTCTTCTGAATATCTTTGAATAAATTCCTTCCCAATTTTTTTCACTTCTTTTCTTTTTCGCGTATTCGCCCGACGGTATACGGCGCGCGTATAATTCTGCAGCGGGGAAATGCAAATTATTCGTTAGCTCTCGGAAAGTCGAGGATATTATCGCGAGTGTTGAACATTTTGTTTCAGGAAAAAGTCTTTAACGCTTTCCTTATCTCGTGATGAAACGTCCTCCTGGCGACGTTAGAGCGCGTGATCCTGTATATGGCGAGATCATTTCTTGCCTCGTTGAAAGATGGTTCGATAAATTTGCCATGCAGGTTTTTCACATCGCATCGCGATGATATCGTCGAGCGATTAGAGGAAGGAAGAGGGGAAAACGTTCTCAGTCGCCGACAAGAGAAACGGGCCTCGCCGTAACGACAACGAGAAGGCCGATCTTTACGCAACGGGGCGCGTCAGCTTCACGAACGAGCTGACGAAGTATCCCGGGAGAATGGAAACTCCGGTAAAAAGGAAATTGAATCGATTGTAATTAAACTTGTATAACGAAGGCACGGAGTTCATTTCAGTCGTTGCGGCGAGGAAATCCGAATTTTTTTCCGTTCCGGGCCGCGAAAGACGAACGTGTGTAAATTAATGAGGCTCGTTCCTTTCTCTCGGTGCCGCCGAAAGCCCGGCTCTCGAAACGGATAATTTATCCGTCGCTTCTTCCTTCCCCTTTCGACTCATCGATTTCTTAAAATATGGTTCGAGCTGAATGCGACAATTATCCTCGCGATTAATACGCAGACGAAAATCTTCGTCTTAAAGGGATGCCATACTCGAAACAGACAAAGTACTGATTTTTCCGCAAGGTTCGCTTATTATCTCATAGGTTGCACAGTAATACAAATGCGTCTACGATAGCGAATCGGAGGATTGTCCAATGTGTGACGAAAGCGATGAAAAATTTTCAAATCTCTCATTTTTCGACGTGATGTCTCGACCGAAATCATTTTTATTTCCTTATTACATTTTTATGTGCGTTGACTGGCATTTCATAACTTTGTTTCATAGCTCAAGAACATTAATTTTCAAACTAAGTTATGAAACTAAGTCGTGAAATACTACATAAAAATATAATAAAAATAATAATGATATGAAAATGATATTGTATCAAATACAGGATTACAGGAGGGTTAAATCAATGATAGATATTCTCATGTATAAATAAGAATTTTATAATATTCTTGGAAGATTTTTAGTCTTGAATTGGGTGCAAGTAACACTTGCATTAATACAAATTCAATGAAATCAAGACTAAAAATCTTCTAAGAAAATTATAATTTCTCGCTTATATATGAGAATATCTATTCTTTATCTAAGAATTAATTTTTTTCCGTGCAAAATTAATAATAACCAACTTTTACCGCCGTGCATATTTAATTTGAGAGATATCTCCCGGAGTTCCGAGATATTAGAACAAATAAGGAGATGACGTATAATGATACCGCGCAAAATACTTCCTTGCGGTGACACACGCGTGTATGAGTGTATCTTCAAACGCGTTGCCACAGAAAATATTATCAAAGTGAGATCTCTCCGCGTTTTTCGCGGTAACTTGCTAAGTCTTTTTTACGATTTCGCAGTAATACGATCTTGATGGACATCTGGGCCTCTCTGCGGCTTTACCTGAATCGGCGATATATAGAAGGCCGTCTTACCCCGTGGCAGGAGGGGAGCGAAGGGGGCTTAAGTGTCGTCGAGGGTGGAAAATGTAAATTAGTCCGTTCTCGCTCTCGCAATTTTCTTGATTCCGCGTCTGCGGCGCCGACTTATCGCGGATTCAATTATACGGTCAGCGGGCGATATCGGCACGAGCCGAGGTGTTTATCGCGCGAAGGATATACCCGCCGTTAACGAGAATTATGTCGAGGAACGCTCAGTCTGCACGTATTCCTGCCTCGAATCACTTCCGAAAGTTCTCCTCGTCACCTGAAAAAAGTACATTGAAAAAAGGTGTTATCCTTCAAATAATATTTGCTTGATCAAAATAAAATGGTTACTTCGATATTCCTTGGCAAGTATTGTCTAGAAGTAGAAATATAATTCGATGAATGTACCATGTACGATATTCCCTTCGTATAAGTAGACATTTATCATCATACGTGTTAAAACAATTGCGACAAGAATTAAATTTATAATATTGAAAGAGTTTATTTGTCAGAAAATATTCACTGAGCAGAAAAATTGAAATTTGAAACACCACTAGATTTCACCAATGGGAAAGAAATATCACACAATTCTAGCAAATACTCTTTTAAATTCAGGATTACGCATTTTACGCATTTTACGCATACATTCAATAATTCATTTATAAATTAAGATATGTTCAAGTAAATGTTTATAGGGAAGACCGGGGTAGGTTCGATAATAGAATTTCGGTGTAAAAACTTTCCAGAAAATTAATCGTTATGATTGATTAAATAATGATATTAGCGAAAATTTTCCTCTATATTTTTATGCTACCAAAGATCCTGTAATCTATCGTCTGTAATAACCAATGTGTCAACATAGAGTATCTGTGCGAACCTGCACTGGTACCAGATTCGGGAGCAGCCCGAGGTTAGTTAAGCCCGAGGTTAAGTTAACATTATATATAATAAATATGATTGTGCGTTGAGAAATGAATATACGTTTAAAGCTACTTAGTAATAAATGAGAGGTTATTTATATCATATTATTGATAGTCGGAATATAGTGAATTTTGTTGTTTTTTAACGAAATTATTCAGTGCCTGTCAAAATATAAGCTTCAGGGCTTTATCTAATATAAACAATCTCATCTGTGCAGTCACGAGAGTGGCAACAATTCTACCATCCATTATATTAATTATACGACTGTGCGTTTAGTACAACAAGTATTTTGAATACTTATTATAGAAATACTTACAAAAATACTTACAAAGATACTTACTGGTTTTAACTTCTCTACCACGTATGCAATAGATAATAGGTTACAAAGTATATCTCGCCAGTTGATATCTGCAAAAACCATCTGCACCTATATGTAGCGTTTCGCATTGAACCTAATTGCCCATCCTGTTCCAACCACTCGTTCCTTCGATTTCGAAATAATTTTATCAATGAACATTACTTTTATTACACAAAATAGTACATCACATAGCTGCGGAAAACTTCATTCTAACTAATTACATGTCATTTAGGTTTATCCAGTCGCGACGGGGAATAATATTAAGAGAAAATTTCAAAAATCTACTCGGCTGGTTTCAAAACATATCTTTCTTTTTGTTGATCGTAATATTTTCCCGACTTTAATGAAAATTGAAGACTGATACTTATGTTCCGAAAAGAACATTTTGCGACACCTTTCGTTTTTTTTTTTTTTCATAATAAGTATATAAATGCATCCCCCTACAAGCTATTAAAATATACATAAAAATAAATTGATAAAAATATAACTCGATTTAAGAGAGTGAAAAACAATGAATTACGCTCACTTGATTCTAGCACTTGTTTTTTCCTCGGTGTATACACACAGCGGTAGTGTACGTCATGAACAACACAACGCGGCTGATCCAAAAATACGTCACTTACTATTTTTATTTAATAAATATAATATTACATCGTAACGTAAGGAATATCGTACGTAATCGTCGCGAATTCGATGGTCCGCGCTCGCGCGATCCCCAACGAGCTTCGCTTCGCGAATCGTCCGAGCGACGGCGAACATGTATATATATATAACTTTATTCTTTAATATATATATATAGAATTCCTCTCTTCTAACGACAGCACAAAACATATAGTATGTTACAATATCGTTACAGTCATTGTATCTCGAACGGCCCTCTCGCCGCGCGCGGTTTCAGCGTTCTCTCGCTGAAAGATCCGGGCGCAAGGAAATCTCGCCTGCGGGATTCGGCGGTGCTCGAATAGAGTACAATATTATGCGCGAGAGAACGTACAAACAACTCGCGTGTCGCGGAAGCATCCAGCCGAGATCCCGCTGCGTCGAGGCTCTCTTTTGATTCGTTACGCTTAAGTTTAAACGAAGCGGACGACTGGATATGTATCGAGGGCAGTGCTGTGTGTCGTTAGCTTGTTAGTATGTGTGGGTATCTTTTTCATATTATAAAGATCATATATAAAAAGCCAATATATAATACCGAAGCGGTGTGTGATTTGTAGATTCGCTGGCGGGAACGGAAATGAAAAAACGAAACGAGAGAGAGAAGGAAAAAAAGGCAAGATAAATTTGAACTATTTGCAATTAACAGCCGATTGCGCAATGCGTTACATCAGCTAACGAACGAACGGATGAGTGGAGATTTATTTTTACAAACGTTCTCTCGCACGTTTTTAGCCGAAGGTCGAGCCTGATAACGTGTGTGTGTGTTATGTGTGTGCAATTAAAAATGACACATTCTCACGGAAAAGAACGACTTATCACACTTTACCCGCGCATTACTCTTTACGATCTATCGGTTTTAACGATCTCATCGACGATCCCTCTATTTACACGACGTCGTTAAACCCGTGAATGCTCGTTCTCGCGCCGCGGACCGTGAAATTTATCGGAACTATGAGTTTATCGAAAAAATTTTAATAACCGATGCTTACGGAGCTTAATTACGACGGCGGCGGCGAGTCGCGTCACGGAGTGACGGCCCTTTAATTTTTCAACTTTCCGACTGACGGCCGATACTAAGTCGTCGATTAAAGCAGCACGCGTTTCGAACTCTCGTCGAGATAATCCGTGTCGGGAAAATAGAGGATTCGCGAACGACTCGTCGAAACGAACAGACGGAGGCTAGAGGGACGATGAAACGAACATTTGCGCACGTATATTTAAAATTTATACGAAAACATTGCGTAAAATATACACGTGAAACATAAAATCATAATTATAGTCGCTAAGCAAATGTAATCACCGAGAGAAACCGTTGATTCACTCACAGTATCGTTTATGAACACGTTCCTAAAGAAGAGAATTCGCGAATTTGTCTTTTTCTTTCCTCTCCTTTTTTTTTTCTGCAAACGAGGACACCACGCGCACATCTCTCGGTCGTAATGATTTTATCTGCGCGTCATAGGAGCCGCGTGTCCGCGTTTTCTTCCTTTTGTCACGTAAAAGTAGCGAGCGAGTTTTACGCGCTGTTTTCTCTCATCGTGTTTGTTTCGCGACAGAAAGAGAGAGAGAGAGAGAGAGAGAAACGCGACGGTCCGCCATCGTAGCTGCACGACTTCCCATTAATTAATCTAATATGTACAAGTAGGACCGTCATACAACCGCGCAACACACTTCGGGATTCCCAATGGAAGATGGAAGAACGCGGGAACGTCGCCCCCGATATTTCTCGTGTGCACGATATGCTCTCGGGATCACGAAAAATCACACAGAGGACACGCGACACGATGAAATTTCGAACGCGCAAATTTAGTTCGCCAACGGAAATCAGATTACGTGCGATCACGTTGATCGTCGATATCCGATAATTTATGTCCGCGTGAGTTGAAAGAAAGAGAGACTTCGCCTCGTCACAGGATAGTAGTAGGTTCCCCTCTTTTCGCAGTGTTTTATTATTTACAAGTGGTTCGCAGTACAAATTACCTTCGTTCGTGTTCGCCTAGTCCGGTTGGGATTCGTTCCTCTCGCATTAGCTTTGAGAGACTCGACACCCTTGTCGCCGCATGTTCGTTATATTTTCGGGTCGCATACACACGATACATGAAAAGAATCTCCGAATCGTGGCCCCCTCGTCCTTAAGAAGATGATCGAGCCCGTCTCTTTGAACGATCTACGATAAATTCTGTCGCGGATTTTAGATCGTCTAAGAAGAGCGGACCTTATCATCAAGATTCGGAGAGAGAGAGAGAGAGAGAGAGAGAGAGGGCCGATAGCAAAATATCTGACATATGAAAATAGATGTGTAAGACTTTTTCTTTACATCGTTCCGCTATCACAAGGATTACCTACGATGTCGGTTATCTAAATCGCGAGTTATGATTTGATATGTACAATATAATATATATACATGTATATTTATACGCTTAATAAAAAGTGCTATTCGTCGTCTTTCGTCCGTCCGTCTCTCTCTCTCTCTCTCTCTCTCTCTCTCTCTCTCTCTCTCTCTCTGTGGGTGATACATCTCTACGGTAGAAATAAATAGAATTGACAAACGTGGTCAAAATTATTGAAGTGGAAAACGCATTCGACTATGGAAGAAAGGATTAAAGCAAACATACGTGTATACATATGTATGTATTTCTGTGTATAAATACATACATATATATATATATATATATATATATATATACAAATATATTACATATAATTAACAAATCTGTAGTGTTAGGTTCTGGGCACGAAAAATAGGGTAAATCATTAACAAGGAAACACGTGGATGTGTCGCTTACCGATTCTGACGATCGTTGTGAAACAACGAAAAATAAAAGACACGTATTTCTTTTTATACGTGTTTTCTCGCACGTTCAGAGGTTGAAACAACCAGGTTGGCGCACTTCATGTCCTTTATATGTATAAGATTAAAAGAAAAATGTATATGCATAATTATTAAGTATATTAAATAATACCTATAAAAATTGTGTCTAAAACATTTTTCATTACGTCACAGTTGTCGAGATGTTTGCTCCAACGGTCAATTTTACTGCATTTTTTTTTTTTGAGGAGACTTTCGGGTCTTTCTCTCCGATCTCTCAGATGTTCGAGATAATAAACAAAAAATACGTACCTCTTATTTTCAGCCGCTATATACGTATCCAACAAAGCCCATAAAAATCGGTGAGGCGCACTTCCGTATATGTTTCCTCGCGAGTGTATATATTTACTGTGTAGTACTCTTTCTCTTCTCGCTTCTCCTCTTCCCTCTTCCGCTACTTTCCATCGCAGTCATCATTAATTCAAACGCGAGGATATATCGTACAAGAGCAACCTACGGTGCACGCAACTCGAACGTTTGTCGTCATCGACTGCGGGTCGAGTATTTACATCCGTCCTCTCGACCCGTCTAGAACTTTCCCGCGGAAACGTAATCGCGACGCGAGATCTCCGTACAGAGAGAAAATTCGGTTATAAATTCACTCCCCGACGTGGGATTAGCGTGAAAAGTTGTCAATTTGTTTGTTCGATAACTCGCGGTTTGGTCGTAGCCCAAAAATGTACAAATGCTCAAGTTGTTACAAAACTCCCGCTTCCGGTATTGTCTAGGAAAAATAGAAGCGTTCACAGTGGATGAGAAACTACTTAGAATCTATAGCTGTCGAGGGGAGAAATAAAGCGTACGTGGAGAGAATCGATCGCTAGGCCAATATGATACACCGCCGTGATCCGGATCGCAGGTAACCGAACACTTTCTCCACTATATACAATCGTATAATTGAACATTGATGAAAAAATTTGTCAAGTTCTTTCCAGAAAGAACGAAAGAATCAATCGACCCAGCCGCCCGGGTCAATTATTTTCCACCTTAAGGGGGGTAGAAAGGTGTGAAATTTAGCGAATCTTTTCCCTTTCACCGAAAAATTCGAAAAAAATTGTGTTCAGGAGAGCGGAAAATGTGGACAGTCTGAAAGTCGACGGCATACATGCAGCAATTGATAGGAAATAAAATAGAGAGAAGAATGAAACCAAGAAGAATGCCGATCTTTGAAGCCCTGTCTTGTCGTTACATAGGTGCATCGGCCAGAATGCTAATGAGAGTTTTCACTCAACTGTGTGGAAAATAGCTCGAAAGCAGCCGATATTCTCGCTGCGTGTATGTAGCGGTATTTAATGACGGAAAAATACGATTTCTTGATTCAATGAATATTGATAAAAGCCTCGTGCCGCTGAAATGTGCTCTCAACAAAGGGAAGATTGACGCAACGAAAGAAGCTAGGGTTGCATAAAAAAAGCAGCGAGAAGCTAAACCTCATTTTATAACCCAGGCAACTTTTAATTCATGCAAGATCTGAAAAAAGTACTTTAAACGCGTAATTTTCTCTCATAACCATGCTTTCCCGCAGTGATCACTCAGGAACGAACAAAGATACTTGTGAAAGAAATTTTCTACAGAATCAACTAAACTCCGGTGAGAAAATGTTATTTATTTAAAAGTTATCGCGTTAACGAATAGCGTTCTATTCAACGCGTCGCCCTTTGTTAATCCTTCGCTTGGATTTCTTTTCCCCTCCTTCACTCTGTAGAGGAAACACAGCGCCCGCTTTTGAAAAAAAGAAGAGTCCGCTCCGCGACATTCGTCTGAATATTTGTCAATAAATTCTGTGAGCGTATGGTTAATATAAAAGGCATTCGGGTCGAATTTCCGAACCTTTCCACCCTCCTTAATCGTCGCGTCAATTAACCAGAGCGTTCTCCCTTCAGTTTCGCGGCAGTCCTCCGAAGAGTCAAAGAGGTAGCACATACGATCGGCAGTGTTCGAAAGGGGGCACCACTTACGATCATTGCACAAAGTTCACATTGTACGTCTCGACCTGCATCGGCTGCAGGCCGACCTCCTGAAGGCCGTCCTTGAGTCGGGCACCCGGCCTCGTGCCGGTCAACGAGGTCCTCGTGACGTTGACGTTGTCGAGCTTGTAGAACGCGGTGCCGGCCGACAGCCGGCCGGTGAGCGGACAATGTTTCAGCACCGTGTCGACGCCGACGGCGCAGCTGTAGCCCTGCCGGTGCAGCACCATGAGAGCGCTGTTGACGGGGAAGTGGGGCAGTTTCTGGTCGTGATTGGTGCGCAGGTTGAGCAGGTGCAGGTCGCACGGGAAGCTCTGGCTCAAGAGCCGCACCTCGGGCGCCATGGTGACCTCTTGCTCGCTGCCGTCCACCACGAAGATGTTGACCGGGTAGTTGAGCGCGTTGCTCAGCTGGTTGGCGAAGAGCGACGGCTTCGAGTAGGCGTCCTTCTCGCCGCTGACGTCCTCGAGCAGCAGCCAGTGCTTGATGACGGTCCTGCGATTGTCCAGCAGACCCTCGCCCATCCCCCTCGAGTCGTCGTACAAGGTCCTGCGGTCCAGCATCACCTCCAGCCAGCCGGGCTGGTAGCTGGCCGCGCCCTGACAGTGGTTGACCAACAGCGTCAGCCGGTGGCCGGCGTCCTCGATGTAAGCCATGCTCGTGATGGGGAAGTAATTGCCCTCGATGCCGATCCGCTCGATCTTGGTGCGCTTGATCATCTGGTGGCCGTTCAGGTCGGTGTAGAACTCCGGCGGGTCGCCGTTCGAGATGTCGGTCTGCAGCCGCATGAACATCTCGGTCTCGCGGTTCTTCGGCGGCGTCTCGAAGTCGACGATGTTGCGCAGGTAGATGGCCTCGCCGAGGCCGCCCTCGCGGTGGTAGATGGCGACGTGGTGCGTCAGCAGCCTGCCGTACTCGACGGTGAGGCGGGAGCTCAGGCTGCCGCTGACGATGTAGATCTTCTGGTGCGGCGTGTACGCCTCCAGCACGTCCTTGTCGGTGTCCCGCAGGTTCGGGTCCGGCATGAAGAGGTAGGCGCCGCTGTGGAACTGCGCGGATGGATACGCCGCGAACTGCACCGCGCACTGCATGATCTTGCCGGTGGACTTCTTCGTGACGCGCTTCAGGAAGCCGGTCTGCCCGTCGAACAGCAGCTTCATCCGCTGGTTCTCCAGCTGCACGTCGCCCACCTGCATCGACTTGACGGGGAACACGTTGTCCTTGCCGCACCGGCCGCAGTACACCGTCGAGATCGCCTCCATCGGCACCTTGTCGATCTGCTGCAGGTGATAGGTCGCGATCGACAGCGGCTTCAGCTCCGCCACGAAGAGCAGCACGTAGACGTCGTGGGTGATGCTCGTGGCGTTCATCACCGGCGCGATCTGGTACGGGATGGGATTCCTCTGCGGGTCCAGCACTCTGATCTTGTAGGAGGTGATCTTCAGGCTGATCACCTCCTGCCTGGGCTGCGCCAGCGGATTGAACAGCACGATCTTGCGGGTCTCGTGGCCGTTCACTCCGATCGGTATCTTCTTCGGCAGCTTCTCGTAGCTGTCCCGGTCCGACTCGGCCAGCACGTAGACGGAATTCGACTTCGCGCTGATCGCCGCCAGCGACTGTATGGCGAAGCTCTGCAGGCTCGTGGTGTCTGAGATCGACTCGAACAGCTTCAGGGCGTAGTCCTTCATTACGAAGGACTTGGAGGTGCCCGTGATCGCGTCGTGGTGCTGAAACAGGCCCAGATTGCGCCTCGCCTTCACCAGCTTCTCGAAGTACGTCTCGTACAGCTTGATGTCCTTGCCCGACTGCTTCGCGAGGTTCAGCGTGATCGTGTAGAGGATCTCGGCGGATCTGAGGTTCGCCTCGAGCTCGCGGTCCAAGATCTTCATGTAGGGCCTGGTGGTGAAGTAGCCGCTCCAATACGCCGGCCTACCCTCGCTGAAGATGTCGGAGTAGACGAAGAAGTCGCCCGTCAGCGACGGGAATTTCTCCACGCGCTTCTGTATCTCGTGGAAGTAGTCCTTCGGCGTGCCGAACACCACCTCGGCGTTGTACTCGTCCTTGCGGCTGTTGATGTAGTCCATCAGGATCTTGTAGTTGGTGTACTGCTGATCCCACTCGATCGCGTGGTCGTACCTGCGACGGGGGAACGCGTAACGTTCGACGAAAACATTTCAATCGAGAAAAATAACATTTAAAAATGAAAGAAACAACTTCAATATAAAAAAGAATAGTTGGAAGATATCGAATTTTTTCACACCGAAGGAAAAAAAAATGCCACCATTCAAATAATATTTACTTGATTTAAGTAAAATAGTTATTCCAACACTTCTTGGCAGATATTTACTAGAAGTAGAATTATGTTCCCTTCGTATCGGTGAGCATTTCAAACAATTCATTAAATTCATAATATTGCGAACATAAAAAAATCACTAGGTTTCTTGATTCTAGTAAATATCCTGTTAAAGAAAGGATCATTTTGATTCGTGTTACTGCGTTCAAGTAAGTAACTGTTCGAATCAACTTGAATTGATGAAAGTAAGAGGTTGAAAGACGAGCAATTACGTGGTTCTTTTGAAAATCCTCGTACGAACCTGAAGTCGTCGCCGAGGGGCATCAGCACGACGTTGTGAGTGAACAAGGAGCCGGTTCTCGCGTACTGCTCCAGCAACAGCTCGGCCATCTGCTTCACGTTGTTGGGCGTGATCTCGACCGCCCGTACGGAATACTCGGTGTACTCGCCGCGTATCTTCCGGAAGTCGAAGTTCAGACACACGTGCGGGTGCGGTCCGCACGAGTGCTTGATGTTGTAGATGTCGAACGGCTGATTGTGGGTGAGCATGTCGGCGGCGCCGGTGCGGTCCCACGGCTGCCGCCACACAAAGTCGCCGTATTGCTTCTTGGCAAACCACTGCTTCCACGCGTAGTGTATCCTTTGGATCACCGTGCCGGACGCGCCGGACGCCTTGAGGAAGTAGGGTATCGTGCCGCCATGGCCGAATGGGTCGACCGACCAGCCTGATTCGGGGATCACGTCGAGATTCGTTTTCAGCCACTGGTGGCCTGAAATTGCGAAAGAGGCCTTTCTCACTACTGGCCGAACCTTTGTGTGTATTTGATGAATTTCTCCGGCTCGATTAGCCGACGATTATCAACTACTGTAATAGAAATTTAGCCTCGTGAGTGTCGCTGCTATCCGATAATGTAACGCTCGCTTCTCTCGGTGGTTAGATAATGATTAGTTTAAACAGAATATTGAAATATTACAGTTGCGCGTTGCAAAATTGCCAGACACTCGTGTAATTCCATTCAGATTTTTATGGGATAACGTATCTTCAATTTTCGTTCGCAGCCGCGAAACGTCGATTTCTGCGCGCTATTTTGCACTTTTATACACCCGTCTATCTCGCGTGACTTTCAGCCCGGCCTCTAGAACGGAGAGGGTAACTCTCCGAGTTTAGTTACAATTTATTCCCGTTTAATTCGCTAAAACCAATCTACAGAACTTAATTATGGACGCGTATCGCAAAAGCCGCGTCTCTTTTTTTCGTATGGCGTGCATTAATTTGCATCCCGGGGAAGCCTTTTAAAGTTCATCCAGCCGGTTCTGCGCGGTGCGATCAATTATTCATAATGCGAATTAATCCGCTGTTTCCGTGCCCTGAATATTCCGATTTTTCTAGTGACGGCGAGCGCGAACGCCGAAAACACAGTTCGGGCCTGTGTATACATATACACCGATAATCAAATAAACTAACAATTCAATAAAGTCAATTAACGGAGCGAGATGTATTAACGGATCGTTGAGTAAAAAGCCAAAACATTATCAAGATTAGCGAAACTCCGGTTTATGACTCGGCGCAGATCGAGCGTTTAATTCAATTGCGCGTAAAATTCACGCCCCACGTGTGTGCGCGTTTATGCTTTTATTCGTATCTTGCGTTTTAGTCACGTGCGACGGACAGAGATAAATAGGTAGATAGATAGATAAATAAATAGATTTGTTTAATCCTGAGGAAAAGTCCCTTAACCCGTTGCGGTCTTGTGTCGAGCGTCACTCGACACAGCGTTTCGTTTCAGCAAGTACTATGTCGAGCGACACTCGACATCGCGTTTCGTTCCAACGTGTCCTATGACGCGACAGAGTCTTCATCGTACGCTAAAAGAGATAAGATAAGAGCTGCGGTGTAGCATCATAAATGTTTTCCAAAGTAAACGGTATACCAAGCGGATGAGCGATTGACAAAATCTGTGCGGACCGGCTGGGACGAAATTGCGAATACAGCGCGGACCGGTTAAAGTACACTATGTAACGAGCTTAAAATATATATATATATTTAAATCTTGAATTATGTACGATCTAAAAACGAACTGAAACAGAGGTTGGTCCTCTCCAATCCCTTATTACTGACATTTAATAACATTTCGGGAGTCTTGAAGCGCAAACGTTACGTTCCGGTGAAATGTTATCGAGTGTTAGAAATAATTCAGACAAACAAATGTTTACAAGTCCTTGGTGAACATTTAACAAATTGAATAAGTCGAAATAGAATGTTGTAATTTTCATGTAGCTATAAGTTTCATATAGCTATAAGTCGAAATTTTATATTTTTCAATAGAAGCATCTGACAAGAAAATATTTCGGGCAAAACTAAGTTGTTTTCATCCACAAAATCGAAGATATAATGTTTTTTTATAGGGATTTCTATTAAAAATGTTTAAGTTAATCCTCGTTCCATCCACGCAACACAAGTTGGAGCACCAACTTCGACTTCGAGCCCTCCAGATCCATTCGAGACTTAAATCTTTAAAATCGATGAAATAGTTCCCGAGATATCGAGCTGTTATGCGGTCCACCCCCTGTATAGTACAACAAAACGTAATAATCAAGGTTGGAAACACAAGTGGAAATCTAACAGCAGAAAGAGAGAGAGAGAGAGAGTCGCACCGATTAATTATAAAAATAACGAACGAAGTGTTGCCGAAGTCGGAGCAAAGTAGTTAGCGAAACGGAACCACGAGGAAGGGAATGGGAGAGGGAGAGGGGGCAAACACGATTAAAGAGATACGCCATTAGCGGATGGGAAACATCGGGGAAAAAGTTAGCGACGCCGCGGTAGGAGGAGGATCGTCGATCATGCCCAGCCAGGACCAGACGACGTGGAAACTTACGGGCGGCGGCGGCGACGGTGCACAGCGTGGCGCGGCAACGAAGCCGCGAAATTAATCCCGCAGGAATGCGAGGAGAGAGAGAGAGAGAGAGAGCGCGGCTTCGTAGGCTCACCGGGGATGGCTAATAGAATTAGTCCGAAGTCAGTGGTAGTTAGGCGATAGGTATATCCCGCGTTCTATCTACCGACGGGTTATCGTGGGCGTTATCAACGTTACGCTATCATTCGCGCTTGGCAGCGAGCATAATCTCGTAAATGATTCTCCCGCGGGCGGATGATATTTGCGCGGCACGCGAAGGATTAAGTCGGTAAATCAAACGGATTACACGTCGCTTACGTAAGTCCACTCGTGTATTACGCGCTTTCGTATCTTATTTTGTTAATATTTCTCCCTCGCTCCTCCACTCCCCGACCAGGGGATGTTTCTGCGGTGAAAAGAAACAACGTGTCACGCGAAGTTCCATGTTAAAAAAAAAAAAGAGAGAGAGAGAGAGAGAGAGAGAGAGAGAGAGAAACCGCGAATAATTTCAGAAGCGTAATTTCTCGGAGATGTTGTTTTTAATCGCCGCGTTGTATCTCTCCACCCGTGACCGCGCACGTAACGGCTCTCGAAATGAGAGCGTTGATAAAAAAAAAGATATATGTGCGAGATTAAAATAAGATCAGAAGACAGGCTTGATTTAATTCGTGGTTTAAAGCGCGCGCGGGGATTAATTTTCACTCCGGTGACACCGAATATCTTGCGAATCGCCTAAAATCCGAATTCTCGGGGTCATTCGCAGCTCGCTCGCAACCCGGAAATTGCATCAATTATTCGAGAAAGCCAGAGCTCGGCCGCAAATTGCGCGTTCGTCGTACTATCCCGCCGATGGAGCTCGCATTATTGTGGAGGGCCGGGGATGGAGAATGGAAGAGAGAGATAGAGAGAGAGAGGAGCGAAGGTGAGAAAGAGGGACTAGAAGGGCGCCTCTCTAATGCGGGGAATAAACCATTAAACAGTACTCAGCTGGCGCTCGACTGATTATAACTCGTTAGAGCTGCACGACATATGTGCATTAACGGAATTATCGCAGCGCGTCGCAATCCCTGAAAGACACGCGCGAATCCGCGACATTGCCGCAAGATCCGCGTGCACTGGGTAATTGGGAGGCGTGTTCCCGCGTCGATTTTTCTTGCTCTCTCGAAAGAAAGGAAAAAGGGGGGGGGGAAGAAAGAGCCGGGAGTATATCTCTGAACAAGCATCATCCGAGAGAAGAAAACGAGGTCTTCGATTTGTTCCTTTCAGCTGACCTGCGACTGCACTGAAACTGAACTACCTCAAGCCAGTTCAAGATAGTATAGGCAAGTACAAGAATATGGGTCTGAAAAGAATGCAACGCAGTAGCCAATATGACAGCCGATAGATTTGTTAGATTTTCATTTATCGAGAACTTGACGTTTAAGGTAAGGTTATTCTTTTTACAATGAAAATGATTCTATATTACAGTTTTATATTTTCTAGTGAATTCGATTTGCTAAAACTATTTTCTTTTATATTAATTAAATCAATGAGAAAACACTTATGTTATTTTACATTACTGGCCATTATGACATTAACGAGATATTTAATCATTTATTCAAATTAATGATTAGTGATGTACACTTAATATTTATACCGTTTACGATGTCTGTAGATTATTCTTGTGGATTCCGTCCTCATCAGAATTTTTCCTCAACGATAAATATGTTTTACATTTCCCTAATGCTAATGCGAGTCCTGCACTGGCTGCGCTAATTCAGATTGCGCTGCTAAAAAGAATTAGTGCAGCCAGTTTAGCTAAAAACAAAAAAAAAAAACCACTTGTTGTTACGATGTTAGATTCAAATCGAACAGAGGAGATATAATGGCTCGAAGTAAGCGATAACGGCGATATAAATGCTCGCAGGATAAGCGGCGACACAGAACGCGCGGAATTTCGTTTTCGCGAAGCGAAAAATTTCGGAGTTTAAAACTCGCCCAATTTATTCACGGTAGATTGGATTGAGCAATTCGTACTGCATTTTCGCGACACGTCGCGAATTCCTGCAAACGAACAGCCGGGGGAGAGAGTTGGGCGGAAGTGCTGCGAAAACGGGTCGAACTTTCGAAAAAGCTACGGTCACGTTCCGGTGCTCGAGGATAGGACGTGCGAGCGAGAGCGGCAGCACGTCGGGGGAGAGATGCCACGTGAGATATGGGGGACAGCTGCTCGGAGTAAATCAACGTTCGAATCTTCCCCGGATAAACCGACTTTGATCCCCGCGCTCGTCCGTCTTCAATTATTAATAGCCCGATCGCGCGATAAAGAAGCGTCGTGAAATGTTTAATTCGGCCGGCTCGCGCGCAAAGCGAAGAAGAAGAGCCTCTATCCATAACCGACCGATAATGAGAGACACCGTATGCCACTTGTTGCTTTCATTCGCTGTTCTAATCACCGAAGCTACCTATTCGGTCCTTACATTTTCCCCGGTGGAGTTCGCCGGACCGCTCGTTAATTGCCATTAATTAGCATCAACAGGCCGAAATCCCAAGCGGAATACGCGGCTTTACACCGACACGCTCACTTCGATCGAAGATTATCCGTGATACGGTAACGAGACGCGTGTGTTCCTTCGGTACAATGACGTGAATATTAAAAAAAAAAAAAACATTTGCGGCGTTTCCTCATTTAGTTCCAAACTTCCATACGAGGAATGTTCCAACAGAGTAATAGGCCGCTCACTGATTTTCGCACGCCTTGGATATGTTGTGAAACAGCTGAGTTTTTATTATTTAGATAATAAAAGAAATGTGCAGAAACATAATTTTAACTTGATAAATACTAAATTTACAAATAACCCCCTTAATGCGTCAGTAAAAATACGGCCTTATGA